CTAGTCGTGGTACAGTGATGCATGTTAAATTACTAAATCATGACAAGGTTTGCCCCTGTACAGCCAAGCAATAAGTTTTAGGCCTTATCTACAGCCACCAAGTTGCATTGCTTTAAAAGCCCACTGCCAATGCCTGTGAATTACATATGAAAGCTAAACAGGTTTCACCTACTAAAGTTCCCCACTGAGTTGAACCAGTTAACAGGGCTGAATAGTGTGTGTCTGGATCAGGCCTAAGTGTTTCTTTCAAAGCACAAAGTTTGAATTATGCAGCCATCTTTGAGGGGCTGGCATGTGTCACAGTGCTTTGCAAGCCTCTAACCAACCAGAGCCACTGGAATCAAACGGTAACTAGTATGGAGTTAGCTGAAGCAAAATGGTGCAGGAGCCTTAAGGCAAAGGAAACTCAGCCCCCAGCCCATCACTTAATTCTCTGCTGTTTATGTCAAGTGCTGCTACCAGAGGAGAGGCTGAAGCCTCCTTACCACAAAGTAGGCAGAGTCTTACTACCACCGCCTGAAAAATCCATTGTAATCAAGCTCCATTCAAGGGGGGGGGGATGTGGGGGGGGCCACAAGGAGAGTTACTCATGGAGTCACTGAAATTCTAAGCTTAGTGGCGTATAAATGCAGCTTTTGCCTGTAGGACTCCCCCCGCCATGTTAGAATAACCTGTTGACGAAAGGTAAGCAGCAAAGACTAGCAGGGGGACAGACAGTTGGTCAGTGTAAGGGTTAAGGCTGCAGGGATAAAGCTGCTGAGTTTGCAAGTTCATGGCTTCTGCAAACTCCCTGCCAGCTGAATTTTTATTCTTCCCTCCCCCCAGACCCAGAAACCTATTGGCTTTCAAACAGCTATGACCTGGGGCTGCCATGGTGCAAGATGAAGCATAATCATGCTAAAAGGAGATTTCTGACAATGCTAGAAGCGTGGGTGGACTATGCTGGAATAGGTTTTACAGCTTCCTTTAGCACAAGGACCATGACACCAGTGTCCGGTTGTCAATGTAATCTGCGCTGCTTGCAACATTTTCTCTTGGTTTTCCTGGAGGAGGAGGAGGAGTGCAAGCTCCAGCAAAGCGCCAACAAGCCGGCAACTTGGCTTTGATTCTAATTTAAAAAAAAATTAAAAAAAAGCTGACAATTTGTATCTTGTTTAAAACAGCCGAATTAAACTTCTCCTGGGAAAGAGCAGGTCTCTGCATTCTCACCAGCTTTCTAGAATCCTGGCCCCAAAGCGTTAACAGCATGTGCGAATACAGCTTTATTCCCACTGAGCTTAGTTCCTTCATTCATTAGCTGCAAGGGAGGAACTGACTGCACATGATCATGCACAGTGGTGGCTTTTTACTGAAGGAAAGATGCAATTTCAGCAACTAGAAGTCAGATAACTGAAATGCAGAGTCTAGTCTTACCACCGGTTCTGAGAATTTTGAGGTATTCTCCCCAACTCTGGCTTCCAACCAACACACTGTGACACTAGACAGAGATGAACTTCAAAGCCTAACTGAAGCCATGGACTATACCATGCTCACCAAGCTCCATTCACTGAGACATAATTACAGACAGACCGGGCCGGTTCTGATCGCACTGAGTGCACTAAACAAATAGCTCCTTCATGATCTTCACTATTCCCACCCTACTGACTCACAAAGCCCAGTCCCCTGGTAAAAGGCAAGGCCTGGGCAGGATTCCCTTTGAAGCCTATTAGATCTATTCCACATGAGCAGCTAGAGGACAGGACTCCCTGCCAGGTGTGAACGTCCAGCTCTTGCTGACCTGGGGAGCAAGAGCAGGGCTGGAAACAGCCTATGCAGCTCCAACAACTCCAGTGTTAGGCCATTGGAAGGATCAATTGTCAGGAGCCCAAGCAATGGGAGCTAGACTCCCATGCATGTAAGTTACGGATTCAAACCAACCATTATGCATTCCTTTTATTTCAAAAGTTGTCTTAACAGTGCACCTTGCACCTATACCAAAAAAAACAAAACAAAAAAACCTTTACTCAGTCCACACACAGGTACATGAGGGCTCTGACAGCTGCCACAGGTCTCTGATGGATAACGTGCGAATGCAACGTTCTCGGCACATGGCATTAAGGTGGGGGCAGGGGCGGGAGTCAGCAGTACTCTGAACTGCTTGGCAAGCGGAATGTGTGTCCTCATTCTGGGCCAAAAAGATTCAAGACAAACCCCTGCCAATCCTAGGTCCTTTTGGGGGCGAGGAGTGGAGACAGAGTCCGTAGGATGAGCACCACTGGCATGGCAGGGAGCGTTACCAGGCTGGAGCAGTGTTGGCCAAACGTCTCATGCGCCTGTAGGAAGCGAGGGAGAAAAAGGCACAGTAAGTGATGGGGAAATGATGCTTTAGTAGAGCTGCCTGGAATCGCGCCACAGCCCTCACAGGTGCTAAAGGGCAAGTTGTTATTGCACAGCCTTCAGGGCTGCTAGACAAACTTACTAGTTAACACCCTCGCCTGGTTGTACTAATTACTTGAACCACATTGTTATCTGCACAGTTCCTGAAGTGTGTGTGGCATTTCTGCCACTGCCGAGAAACCGGGTTACTCGTTTCCATGTGTTTTTAGCCTAAATTGTGTTTCAACATCCATCAGCCATTGACAGCTCAGCTTTACTGCAAGAGCTTACAGCTACTGAGTACCAGAATGTCTCAGTCTTATCAGACTGGGAGATGGTTTATCAGACACCAATGGCAGGGTGTCCATAGTTCTGAGCAACTCATGGGCGTTGCTTGAATCTCTCAATTTTATTACCTACAGTGTCTTGGGGAGATAAACCAGGCTGATTTCACTTCACATCCAGGCAGCTTTGAACAGCCTAAGCTGCCTCTGCAGTGCTGCTTTGTAGGTGTCTCAACGGTGTTCCTATCTGTGCCAGCAAATAGGCAGAAGTGCAGGCTGGGGTTTGGAACATCTCTCCTCCTTCACACAGTGCCTCTCCACACATAAAAGGGAAGCTTTGTCAGGATGTTGGTCAGCATGTGGCATTTAGTTTTAAGACTCCTAGAGACCCCAGATAGTACTGCACTAGAGGGGAGCTGGCTTTGAGCAGGAGATGGTTAAAATGAAAATGTGAAGACACTTGCAGAGTGATGTGATAACAGTTTAATATCCTGAAGCAAAGGAGAGAGAAATCCTCTTTCTGGTGTATTGATCTGAAATCCTGCCAGTTGGCTCTCAGCAGAGAAAAATAAAACATCAAAGCTTTTAAATTCTATCCTAGAGAGGGGCCAGAATGAAAACTGTATGAACGGGCAGCACCTTGTGTTTCTGTCTTGGTCTCTGATCTTCTTCTCCATCTCCGCGTCCGTTAGGGTTTCAAGCAGAGGGCACCACTGGTCAGCATCACCTGTGTTGCGAATGGCGATCTCTACGGTTGGCAGAGGGTTCTCACTAAAGCACCAGGTCAAGACAAAAAACAGAATTCAGCCAAATCTGAATTGCAAAAGCCAAGACACACCGACCTTTCACTCCCCTGGGCACTCATTCTTACATCTGCTTGTACAATCTGGTTCCTGCCCAGTAGACAGTCAAGCTACAGTTCCTAGAGCCTGGAACTGCCATGAATCTAACAACTTTGAAGCCATCATCTCTTGTATGCACCAGGGAAAGGGGAGTCATCAAAGC